AAAACAGTAGGTCAATGGGAGGGCTTGGAAGACAATACAGGGTGGCTATATCCACACTAACTAATGGGAATACTGATGGGATTAGGTTAGGATAAAAAGCTGCTGAAATAAGCTCTTACTAATTATAAAGGGAAACTTAAAAGCTAATTGTTTCCTTCCCTCTTCTCTCATAATACATTCTTAATTCCTCTCTAATAACACTTCCTGCTGTAAAGAATAATTACTTGTTTGTGTATGTTTTTATAAGCAGATCATGAGCTCTTTGAGGACAGAGGTTCTGTGTTTTTTTTATCAGGTACAAATTTAGTAAATGTGAAGTTTAATAAATTAATGACAGAATGAAGGACTGATTAAAAACAATAAAGGTGTCTGGGCACGTGTAACTCAGAGGTAGAGCTTGTGTTGCACCAGGCCCTGGTTCAATCCTCGGCACACAAAAACAAATACAACAAAGTTTCTGCTTCATATTTGCTCCTGACTGTTGTATATTCTAAACTCTTCTCTTTCCTGTGTCTGTCATTCACTAAAGCCTGTGGGTTGACACTTAGGAACCCAAACCCAAACACAGTGAGACTTTACTTTGAGCGCTTTCAGGACAGTTGCACCTTCAAACTTTTCATTGGGCGTATGGGGTGAAGTTTTTCCTCTGTAGCCGTCACCAACAAGCATGATTCCCTGGAATCAAAAGGCAAAAAGATGTTTCATCAGTGACAACTTTCTTTTTGCTTTGGCTGCCAGAGAGATGACAATCAAAGTGAATATTCAGAACCATCCCCATTTTATTCCAGAATACAGGCATAATTAATTTTTCTAATCAAAAGAAATGCCTGTATTTAGTCTTCACACTACATTTTCATAATACAATATTGTATAATGAAAATATAGTGTGGATAATGATTTTAGTAGAAATATATAGAAATGATAATAAATAGAAATAAACAGAATGCAATAATCCATATGTCAGTTGATTATTAATTAAAATAAAGGGATTTCCCCCAGCGACWTTATATGCTAGGCAGGGAACATGCTGGATGGGCATTGTCCTGGGAATTAAGCCACTGGGATATTCCCATCTGCAAAAGTAAAAATCATCAGAAGCCAAAGCTAAGAAAATCTCTCCGCAATCAAAGTCMTTCTCCTAAACAAAGTCAAAAGTCAGGCCTAAAAGTGGGACCGGACCATGGCTCCTCCAGGTTCATGACAGGCCCCTGCCCCATTCCATGCTCACACTGGCCACACTGTGGAGCTCCCGGCACTGCTCCTCTGACAGGACATTATCCAGGAGAACCCGCTGGGTCCCGTTCAGCTGCTCTGAGTTGTAGACGAAAGTGATGTTCTCATAGAGCAGAGGGCCACCTGAAGGGACAGAGCACATTATCTTATTATCTCTCCTCAAGGAGGGAGCACAGAACACAGAAAAGCTTCGACTGGACACTTTGGGACAGACAGATTACTCAGGAAGATGGAGGCACAATGATTAATGACATAGTAGAAAACTCAATAAACACAATAGGAATTCAGGGAAAAGTCAGATATTTGACTGCTATATTTTCCTATAGTGTCATAATACTATATTGCATGCATGTGATATTTTGGAATAGACAAATTACACTTGTTTCCCCACGGTCATGAAAAGCAAATCAGGCAACTCCTAGAATTCTCCTCTGGRAAGACTCATCCTTCTCCACAGCCCCTCATTTATACCTCTGTCATATTACAGGAGATGAATTGGTCACATGTCAGTGTTACCCAGGCATGACATGCACCACTCAGTTCACTGGCATCCACAGCAATGCCATCCCTCTGGTGTTACACCAATCTTCCGCTCCTTCCCCAGCCTCTCCCATCCCTCTGCTTAACTGATTCCAGGAGGTCTTGTATTTGTAGTAGTTGTTTTTTCTGCTTTCTGGGTAAAGTCTTGACATTGCTTTTTCTGCACAGGAGGGTTTCCTGTAGGCTGCTCTCTCCCTAGAGAAAGCCTACAACTTTAGAGAAATTAGCTCTCTAGAGCCTCTTCGGAGTGAGATTCTTTAGGGTCACATTTTAGATTGCAAAATTATAAAATCTAGACCTAACAAGGTCCTTTCCTTATAGAGTAGGAGTGACTAATGGTGAAGAAATCTTCAGATGCAGCAGAGTGCAGACATTTTGAACCAGAAACTGAACAAAAAACATTGAGATATATATATATCTCAATGTTTTATATATATATCTCCTTAAAACACTCCTGATAAGTATAAGGACCTGACAAGCTGATAAATACCTGAGTAAGGGCAGCTCATTCTGGAGGATGTGGGGGTGTGGAGGTACATCTCCCGTCCTCCCCGAGTCTAGCAAAATAATTCCTCCCTCCTTTGCTCTCCCTCCTCCCTTCCTCTCTTCACTCCCTCTCTCCCTTCTTTCTCTCCCATGGCAGAGAGATTCTCAGGTAGCCCTTAATGATCACTGCCTCCTGCCTTTCAGACCCTGGTGTAATTTGTTTCCCACAAGTGTGGGTGTGGCCTGGCACCTGCTTCTCTAACCAGCCACACGACCACATGGGGCTAAATCACATGTGCAGAGACATCAAACTTGATGTGTATTTCATTTCTGTAAAACAGATTACCAACCTGGGGAGTAGCACTACTTTTTTATTAGTCTAGTTAGAAAAAAATGGGGGGCTTTATCACAGAACATGATTAATAGAGCATTAAAAGAATGAGATAGTATTTCTCAATCTTGAGTAATGTATGGTTATCTGTTACAGCCAGTGGTCTCTAAGGAGCTCCAGTGTGAACAAATTATTTTACTGTGATTTTTTCCTACCATCTTTGTAATTATAAAACTATGTATGCTGTATTTAGTTTTATTATTTCATACTAGTATAATACCAAAAATTACTTWCAAGATTAAATAAAAGCAAGACCATAAAGCCATCTAAATTCAAATTAACAACCCTAATAAAATGGTCAATGTTATTTCACTGAAGATAAAACAACAGATTSCACATGCATATTCTTCTAAATAATCTGGACCAGGCTCTTCTGAACCAGCATTTCTTACAACACTGTGGTGTATAATGGCATGTTCTTTCCACCACAACTTCTCTCTATAGAATCTACTTTAAATCTTATAGTATGTGATGAATTTTGGCCTTCATCTGGCCTTAATATATTATTTAGAAGTTTATCCCCTTCATTTATTCTTAGTCCTCAATCACTGATGTATGAACAACTGGGCCAACATGACCTTAATGGAGAAGGGAAACCTCAGGCAACACCTAGCTACAAGGTGGTCATTAGATGACCTACTCATTTCATCCCTTAATTTTTAAAATTGTCATCAAAATTTATAAATATAGAATTTCTTGGATTCTAAAAATATATTCACCAGCCCCAAGTTCCAGTATCACACATTTTKGACGAACAGAAAAAATATGTTTTTCTACAATATTTTTGTGCTGACAAGTTTTTGGCAAGCATTGTGTTAAATAAAATTGAAAAGGATTTCCTGGAACTTTTACTGTGTGAATAAGCCCTATGAATCTCCTAAGTAGTGATGTGATATGCAAAAGATTTTAGCCTTAAATGAACATAATTCCTCCCTCCTTTGCCTGTCCCTTCTCCCTTCCTCTCTTCATTCCCTCTCTCCCTTCTTTCCTTCCCACGGCAGAGAGATTCTCAGGTAGCCCTTAATGATCACTGCCTCCTGCCTTTCAGACCCTGGTGTAAGTTATTTCCCACAAGTGTGGGTGGGCCTGGCACCTGCTTCTCCAACCAGGAGAATATGACCAAGGTGATGGAATGTCACGTCTTCCTTACATTATATAAGATTGCAACTTGGATCTTCAGCAGACTCAGTCCATTGCCTTCCCATGCTTTGATGTGATGCAGCAGGTGGCTGCTTTGGAGCTCACSTGGTAAGGAACTGAGGACCTCCTCCAGCTGGCATCCAATAGAAACTCAAGAACTACAGGCAACAACCCGCTAGGAACCRAATTCTGCCATCTGATTTGAAAGAAGATACTTCCCAGTCAAGTCTGGGAAGAGATCCTAACCCTGACCACCAATATGTGACAGACTGAAGTTGATTCAGCCACACTGACCCCAGACCCCTGACCCATACCAACTGTGAGATAACAGAGCTGCTGTTAACTGCTCTATTTGGGCCCTTTTTTTTTTTAACAGCAACAAAACAAAACAAAGCATTAGCCTCCCAAAGACCCTCTTAACACAGAATACAATTTTGGTATGCTGCTCTAATCCATGTAGCTGGATTATTTGGAAAAGTGAACTATTTGTTCACTCTAATGCAGAAATCTGAAATGAAGGGCCTGGGGTTGTAGCTCAGTGGCAGARCACTTGCCTAGCATGTGTGAGGCACTGGTTTTGATCCTCAGAATCACTTAAAAATAAATAAAATAAAATTATTGTGTTCATCTTCAACTAAAAAATAATTTAAAAAGAAATATGAAATGAAATGTTCCTTCAACAAGAAAGAGAAGGTATCTGTAGGTTAACTGCAAAAAATTTTTGCTACTATAAAATTCAAATAGAAATGGAAGACACATAGGAAATTTAATGAAGTAGGTTAGATTGTATTTTGTCAAGTTTTGAGCTTATATTTCTTTGAACACTATTAGCATATTTTTGAAGTATGATTTTTTTAAAAGTTACTGAACTAAAACATTTGGAAAAAATGCCTATCATTCAAGCTCTGTATTTGTTGTTATCATCATCATCATCATCATCATCATCACCATGATTGATCTAGTTTACTGTGCCTGGAATATTTTGTAAAGTTCATACTGGGGGATCTTAATAAAGATTATGACATGATGGGGACTATTTCAAAGGAATGCTAGAGAGATATTAACATCCCCCAATTGGATGATAAGTAACACACACAGATTGTGTAAACAATAAGTGCAGCATTGAGTCTTATATATCTAGATCCTAAAAGATTCAGGGAGAATTTGTAATACAAACCTGCCTTTAATGTAACTAACAAAGCTATCATGAAGCATAGAGTTTTATACAGAAATTTCCCACATATACACTTCATAAAACACCTAGTTTCCCACTTACTAGCTAAAAGAAAAAAAAACAAATCTTGCCATTCATAAGGCAGGTTAATCAGCCTGCAGATGACTAGTAGCACACTAGACAGGAGAATAACATTAAAATTAAAATTAAAACATAGTCCAATAGGTTGTGGTTCCTGTGGCCTGACTTGATGGTTTCAGCCAGCTCCTAACCACAGCTCCAGGATATTTACTTAAATAACTTAATTCTTCTCTCATTCATAAAGTATGTGCCTGGCTCTGATTCTCTGCTTGCAACAAAGAGATTATCTAGGAAAGTACTCCTTTGTGTTCACTCTGTGGCTCACAGTAAGAAAAATCAATTTCCATAAATATCACAATGTCACACAAGGTATTGATGGGAGTACACAAGTTAATGAGCCCTTATATGAGTACAACCCTTTACAGTTTACAAAAGACTTTCACATCTCAAAAATGATGCCATACTTCCTTCATGGATCAGGATAAAAGGGCTCAGGAGTTTGACTCTAGTTTTCCATTAGCACACAACACATTAGAATAAGATATCGGCAAAAACTAAGCCTTCTGATTCCAAGTTCAATGTCATTTCATTTCTACCATATTCCCATTAACTACTGAAAAAATGGTGGTTAGAAGCAGAATGAACAAGGGACAAAGAAAGTCCTTAGTAAGTTACCTTGTATGTTCTATGGACAGAATGTGGCCCCCGGTGATTCCCATTTAATGCTTAGGAGATGTCCACTAGGAATACAACTAGATACAAGTGAGAAGCCCGAGGAAATAATAATATCTTGGTGGAAGATGAGAAAAGTTGAAATGTAATCTGTGGCACTTGGATATTTTCTTGCCTCCTTAACATCTTCTTCCAGCCTAAGTGTTTTCTGTCTTTTAGCTAGAATAACTCACGGATCTCAGGGAATCTCTCACGTTTACCAGTTTAATATGAAGAACTTTATAAAGGAGATAAATGAACAGTGAGGTACAGAGGTGAAGAGAATCAGGGAGTGGGAGGGAGATGCCTCCCAGCATTTCCACACGTTCATTACCAGGAAGCTCATTTGCCTCTGTCTTTCACTGCTCTTATTCTACATCATAGTTAGATGCTTGATCACTGAACAGAAGTTGCAGTGTAATAAGAAATGTATGTGCTCTTATTGTCCTGTAGTTCCTAGTTCACAGCTTCTAACACCCATTTGATTTACTAATGATAGAAGAATCTTTGTTACTTGTAAGCTTTTTTGCAGGGGAGAGGGATGAGCATTGAACCCAAGGGTGCTTAACTATTGAGCACCATCCCCAGTTCTTTTTGGTTTTAATTTTGAGATAGGGTTTAAGTCTCTTAGGGCTTCACTAAGTTGCTGAGGCTGGCCTCTAACGTGTGATCTCCTGCTTAACCTCCCAAGTCACTGGGATTATGGTTGTGCACCATCAAGCCTGGCTGTAATAAAGCCTTTTTTGACTACACCTGAGTCTATGCTTATGAATCCACTTCAGGTGTAGCCCCTGGATGGACTGAAGATGGGACTAGTCATCAGAAAGACCAAGTGATGAGGAGGGTAGAACTTGCAGTCTCAATGTGGACCTCTGGGAAGGGAGCCGAAGGGCTGGAAATTCAGCTCCCTAAAAGTTCTCTTTCAACAGGGGTAATGAGCTTCTTGGTAATGAATGTGTGGAGATGCTGGGAGGCAATTCCCCCAAGAGGGCAAGGAAGCTCTGTATTTTTCCACTCCCTGGTTTTGATCACCTCTGTATTTCACTGTTCATTCGTCTCCTTTATAAAGATCTTCATATTAAACTGGTAAACGTGAGGGATTCCCTGAGATCCATGAATTGTTCTAGCTAATTAATCAAGCTCAAAGAGGGGGTCATAGGCCACATATGYAGCTGGTCAGTAGGAAACTCAGAAGTATAAGTGACAACCTGCTATTGTCATTGGTGTTTGAAGTGGGGCAATCTTGTGGGGCTAAGCCCTCAACCTGTGGGACCTGACACTCTCCAGGTGGAGAACATCAGAATTGAATTKAATTTGAGAACACCAAGTTGGCATGTATCCCTTAGAGAACTGCTTGGGGTGCAGGGAGAAAATCCCGAGTATCTGATCACAAACATGTTTGTATTGGGTATGAGAACAGAGTAGGAGTTTTATTTTTTTTCCTTTCAGACCTGTAGGTTCCCAAAGAATATCCTAAGATCCATTCTCCAATTCAACCAAAAACAAATAAAAAACAAACAAAACAAACAAAACAAAAGAGATGGTAGACTTTGGTAACCCAATCAATCAATCAATCATCACATGTAGTCAGTCCTATGTTCCACTTTTCCCATTAAGCTTCCTAGTCAGTAGTTACGTTACTGAACATCAGATTCCCTCCTGGTAGCTAAAGTTGTTTTGTTTTTTTTTTTTTAAAAAAAAGCTTTCAAATTTGGCAACTGCTCTGGAGTTTCCTAAACATTTACAGCAAAGTGCTGGCCTATTGGCATGTACTTCCTAGGTGATTTCTCAACTTAAAAGGCAACATGAACTCTGACTGACCGTGAAGCTTTCTGGCAGTTGTAAAACAGCTTGGGGTTTGTGGCTACAAACTGAGGTCTAGGTCACAGATGAGCATATTATCCTGTTTACTACTTCAAACTGACTTGGAAGCTAAGGAAGAAAAGGACTAGGAATTGCAAGAGTATAGAGAGCTAGACATTTTTAAATCAGCTAGAGGAATGTGCTAAAAAGCTCTCGTGGGGAAAGAAATACAGTACTCCTCAATGCAGGTTTTTGAAAGCCTCTTCTTATCTTACAACTGCAGTTGGCCCTCCATATGTATGGTCCTGCAGCTATGGATTCACCACCTTAGATTKAAAATAGTTTAAAAAAAAACTGTACTCAATATGTACAGCTTTTATTCTGTCATAACACAGTATGACACCGATTTACATAGCATTTACTTGTATTAGGTATAGCAAGCAATTTACACATATAATTTAAAGTATAAAGGAAGCTGAACATAGGTTATATTCAAATAGTAAGACATTATATAAAAGGGATTGAGAATAATTGGATTTTGGTATCCTTGCTGGTGGGGGAGGTGTCCTAAAACCAATTCCAGGTGGTCACCCAGGGATAATTGTATTTAATCAAAAGTTATGCTTTTCCATAGTGGGGGGTGGGGTAGGGAAGAATGAAAGCACTTTGGATTGTGAAGAGGGGAGTGAGGGTAGAGATGGGGTGGTGAGGATGGGTAGGATGGTAGAATGAGACAGACATTATTATCCTATATACATGTATGATTACACTACTGGTGTGACTCAGCATTGTGTACAGCCAGAAGAATGAGAAGTTATGCTCCATTTGTGTACAATGTGTCAAAATGCATTCTACTGTCATGTATAACTAATTAGAACAAATTTTTAAAAAATTAAAGGGAGATCATGGGAAGAGAAGAATGAGAACGGGGGAAGGGAGAAGGAGAAGAAATGGGGAAGTGCTTGGGAATAATACTGGCCAAATCATATTGTTATAATGTGAGCATGTATAAATAGATAACAATAAATCTCATTTTATGTACAACTATAACACACCAATAAAAGTATGGGGAAAAAACAAAAAAAAAAAACAAAAAAGATTATGCTTTGGGAATACACATTGCTATACTGGATGCAGAAAGTTAAGGAGAAAAAATGGGAATTGGATTCCAAAGTCTGGGTTCAGATGCCTGCCCAACATGTCATGAGCTGTGAGACTTTGGAGAAGTTACCAAACCCCTTCACATGAGAGACTGCTAGTATTAAAATTAATCGTGAGTAAATTTGCTTGAAATATTATAAAACATAGAAATGAAAAATTGTTAAGAATGACTACTTCTATTAGTACTACAGTACTCATAGTTTTTTATTATTATAACAATATTTGGCTCTATTTAAAAACTACTTTTGGCAACTCTCTAGTTGTGATTCCACTAATTTTAATCTTACATGACTAGACATATAATATTCTACTCTCCCCATCTCTGTACCTTTGCTCTATTTGTTTTGTAGACTAAAATGGCTCCCTCCCACACCCTGTCAATTCAATCTGAAATCAATTTTTGAGCTGGGGAGGTACAGCTCAGGATAGAGTGCTTGCCTAGTATGCCAAAGGCTCTGGGTTGGATTCCCAGCCTGGCAAGAAATTTTGAAAATATAATAAACTATACTTTCTCAAAGCACTTCTCTGCTCTGTCTTTAAGTTTTTAGATGAACTAACCTATATCTCATATGACCTATCTCTTTTCCAAATTCCCTAGATAATCCCACATTATCTAGCATTCATTAGCTGACTATATATGACAGAGCTAAGTTCTGGGGCCTCACTAAGCCTCAGGTATTCATCTCAGGAAGGAGATGAACACACTGTCCCTGCCTAACTCACAGGACTACTGTAGGGGAAAAAAACAATGAGTGGGTGAATTTGGAAGCACATTTTTAATAATATACAAATATGAGACATTCCTGTCTTTAAGCATTGCTTTCAGGCTTTCAAAAACTGTAGTAATTTAGTCCTAAACTTAATTTTCCAGAGAAAGTGGGTTCTGCATTGATCTAGATAAGAATGGTTCATACACTACCCTCTTCCTCCCCTCCTTGTAAAAGTGAAAGCCAATGGGAACTTACCTTCTCTTAGATCTCGATCTATCTTGGGCGATGACTTTTTCCCCATTGATAATCCATGAACTTCTGCCCCCTCTACATTCACTCCTGAAGGGACCCTGTCCATTCAAAAAAAAAAGTTGCAACGAAATTTCCCACTGAGTAAAGATGTTCAAAAGAAAAGATACTATACTGAAGAATTCTATGGTTCTGTATTATATATTTCTGTTGTACATAAGTCCACTTGTCTTTGAAAATCAAACTTTACATGTCCCTGCCTCTGTGAGGTTCTTCTCTATTTCTTCAATGAATATGTTCCACTTCACTCCTGTGAATCTTCTTTGCAAGCTTCATTACAATTAAAGGTATCTATAACTTAACCTCCTTCAGATCAGAGCATAGTTTCAATGGAACAGGAAAAAGTTATCATATGAATCTTTTTAATGCTCAGAATATTGTGCTTTGAACATGGACTGCATCACTGAATGATTGAATTGGAATAAATTATGTTCTAATGTTCTAGTTTTGTACTATTCTGAGAAAGAAGACTTATGTTTGTGTCATACTTTGCAAACACACAGGAGAAATCCAAATTGCACATAATATTCTTAGATTTCTTGCAATAATCTTACACCAATCAAGAGCAGAGTCTTTCGAATCAAGGGAAAGACCTCAAGATTTTGAGTAAGACCTGGTTCTGCCAATCCCTTGTAAGCGCTTTCCCTTGACATAGCCTTGTCCCCCAATTTGAAAGTGAACAGATTGGACGATGTAATCTCAAATGGGTAACTTAAAATACAACAAGAGTTTAAGTTATTCAAACGTGCAATAAGAAAATTTCATTTTCTTTTCTATTAATAAATAAAAAACGTCATTAACCTTTCCCTGATTTGGAATCACAGAATGTCAGCATTCAAATTGCTAGATTCAATTTTTTTTTTTTGAGGAAAAGTCATGAGACCCAGTGAGAAAGATATTTACTTATGGTCATACATACAAAGGTATGACCTTCCAAACTGGAAAATCTGGAACCATGATACAGAGCTCTTAATTTGTAGCTTAAAACTCTTAATTATCTTTTTAATAAGAGCTAAGTTCCTTATGTTTTGACTATAAGTATTTCTTCTCATTAAAAAGAAATAGTTCATACTTTGAATGAAAGACTTACCTATTCTCATCCTGTCGTCCTCCATATCTGATCCAATAATTCTATTTTAAATTAAGCAAAAAATTGTATTTGTTACTAAGATATAATTTGAAAAATAAAATTAAAAGCATATTTAAAATGTTCAAAAGAGCTAATTATCAGGAAACTTCTACTTTACATAAAATACAATTTATTTTATTTAAAAATTTAATAAAAGGCAGGCTAATGTTGATGAAATTTTGGCAAAATGAAACAAATGGATTTAAAAATAGTATGAAACTAGCTCATTTTCTGTCTCAGAAAATGACTTGGAATTTGGTGTCAGAAAGAAGTTTACAATATTGTTCAGTCTAACTATTCTATATTGTAAGAATATAACAAATAGATGAAAGAAGTCAAACTTGACAAAATATCTGTGCAAGATTATAAAGTGAATAAATGCAGTTTTCTGGTGTCTCTTGAGCTAACATAAATTTGAAAAATAATAAGTGGGAATGAATGTATTAGAAGCATTACAATAAAAATATTACCTTAAATTAACTAACTTTAAAAGCATACCAATAAAAATATTTCATACCAATAATAACTAAAAAGATGCTACAAATAAAATACACTACAAATAATAATTGATAGGCATATAATTTCATAAGAATATGTAAAGAATATATTAGTAACCAATAGTGAACAAAGTCCATCTCCAGGTAATTCAAAGGCAAGTAACAATACTGAAAAGGGTTATTCTTGCTGTTCATTGAAAATATACAAGTTAAAATGGCAATGATGTATTATTTTCTACATAATACATGAATAATACAGGTGATTTAAAAATATTATTTCTTGGTACTGAGAAGTTTGTAGTAAACCAATACTTTTAGTGGGAGCAGTAAAGGTATCAGAAAATTCTTTTAGAAAAGTAATTTCATTCTGAGTACTTTATAACCTCATGGTTTGATGGCAAAGTAATTGTGCTACTAGAAATTTATTCTATGGTTATAATTCAACAGAAGCAAAAATGCTTAACATTAAGTATTCGAGAAACAATTCAAATATCCAGAAGCATGACAAGGGTTTATTACTTATTGTCCACCAGTTATATATATAATTTTAAAGGCTATAGAAATTGCTTATGATATTTTCTCAAATAGAAATCAGAACACAGACTATTTATACCATAGCATTAGCTCYGCAAATGGTGTGTATTTGCAAGAACAATTTAGAAGATAGCTTGGGAAATGAAGAAAGACAGCATAAAGAGTTGGCCCAATGCTGTTGTTTCTGAAGCCTTTTTAATGTTTACATTAAACTCAGGGATACTCAACCACTAAACCACATCCCCAGACCTGTTTCGTATTTTAGTTAGAGACAGGGTCTCACTGAGTTGCTTAGCGCCTTGCTAAATTGCTAAGACTGGCTTTGAACTAGAGATCCTCCTGCCTCCGCCTCCTTAGCAGCTGAAATTACAGGCATGTGCCACTGTGCCAGGCTGCATCAAAATTTTTCAAAAAAATATGAGGTAAGTGTATCATGTACAAAATACTTCTTTCCAATATTTGCTTTTGACTTTGGTCCTGGGTGCTATGGAAATAGGTCAGTCTTTTAAAGTTCATCACATATGCTGAGTATAGATTCCACTCCTACCCCAATATTAACTCAAGGAGGGCACTATTAGATCCTAATCAAGTGAGAGTGGGGAACAGAAAATACTAAATTCTTATTATTTGTGAATAAGAATTCCACCAACAAGTTCTTTAATAGACATTTTCTTTTTTCACTTTGCCCTTACTGGTTCAGTGTATGAAAATCCCAGTCCCTCTGCAGCTGATTTTATCAGTTCAGATTCAAGTTTATGTCGTTTCACAAACATAATTAAATCCTAGAAGGAAAAAAAAGAAAGAAAATTTATATTTAAATAACATCTAAGAGCTATGATAAATGTTTGAGTGAATACTTTTCGTTACACAATGACAAATGAACTAACAGAAATATTCAGAGTCTGGGGGGGAAGGGGGAAGTCCCCATGCCAACAGTTTTTCAAGTTAGCATATATGAGAAAAATGTGCTTCTGGCATGAATGAAGCCTGAAAGAATTAAGTTCTAGGACCTTTCCTAAATTGTTCAGTATCTTTCTTTAAGAGCAGTGGTACATTTATCAACTCTCCCCAGAGCACATGGCAGAATAAAGAGCTTTTTCTCAGATCATTGGTCTCACCTCTCTGGCCTCAATGGATTCTGGGTCAATGCTGTCATCTAATAGACTCTCATAGTAATCCACATTGTCTTGGACATCCTCATCATCTGGGTGGAATAGGAGGTAGGCCTTGGCACACTCCAAGGCCTTCACATACTCACCAACTGAAAGGTCAAGGACATGTAGCATTAGAGCTAGCCTAAGTCTTCCCAGAGGATTTTAAAAAAGAAACTTCAACTTTCCAATCAAAGTCAACATCAATCATCAATAAGAGAGAAGACAAATTGAGCAGAGTAGCCAGAAATACAGATAAAGGAAAGACATGGATTCACATACTCAAAAGGGATTATGTTTAATCTGATTGGGTGCTAGACATTTTGCATAGATTATCAAAAGTTTCTACACAAAGTTGCTCATTAATAACTTATTTAATACAAACAGCAGAATTGGAGAAATTAATTCTTATTTCTGTACTGAGTTTGGGTTAAGTATGATCTTCTACCACAGTGATGTACTATTTTATTCATAATGTATGAGAAATATAAGTAATTTCAAAATGCTGTTGCATTTGGGGTAAAGTGCCTGTTCCACAGAAAGACTCACAGAACCCCAGATGCTCTGGAAGACTTCTCTCCAACCCCTCACCACATAACATCAGCTTCAACAGTGGCCAAGTATGAAAAGCAACAATTAAGAATGTTTCAACTACAAACTCTTCATTATAGAAACATTTACCTATTATAGAAGAAATATTTAGAAATATTTAACCATCACAAACAAAATTTTGAAATGCTGTACATCATGTTTTTAGGTCACAACACTTCAATATCTTTTAAAAGAAATCATATACACACATATTTTCAGAGATTGCTTTGATTTTTTTTTTTTATTTTTTAGTAAGAATGATAACATTAAGCAATTCTCTCAACTCCTTTGCAGTCACTGCTAATGACTTGAGCACATGATTTATTATCTGCCATCAGTGCCAGGACAATGAGTAATGTTTTGCTTTTGGAAAGGGAGAGGCTTTGCCAAAGTAGCTTAAAAATGTTGATTTTCCAAAGTAGTGTTAAAATATTGGCTTGAGTCTTTTTCTTCTTATTTTAGAAGGGAAATACTTTCTTTACTAGTGACTTCTCTAAAAGGCACTGATACTGGAGACAGTGAGAAGAGCAACTAGGAATTATGACATGTCACTAAGAGAAGTGACTTCAAGACAATCACTTCCCTACAAAATGAAGATGTTAGACAATGTGGCACCAAAGACCAATTTCAGCAATCTCAATTCTATTAACTGCTCTAAAGCACAATAAAGGATGCTCAATATCTCTTTCTCAATAAAATAAAGGGAAAGTAAAACTATATTGAGATTTCATTTTTCACTTAATGGCCTGGGGAACATCTAAAAATTGATAATATATTCTGATGATGAGCAATGGAAAATGCACTCCATCTGGAGGAAAATTTGGCAACATCTGTCATAACTACAACCAATAAATCATTTAACCCATCAATTGAATTTCCAAACATGATCTTACAGATAGATATCTGTGGTCAGATGTGCAATGACATACATAAAGTGCTCTTCACTTGAAAGTACATGCATTAGTAACAGATCACTACCAACACAACTGCCCATTAATAAGCTGAAACTAAAATAAATTATAGTTCAATGACAYGCAGATATGAATAAAAATGGATGAGAAAGATCTCCACATACTGATACATTTATGCTAAACCCTAAAAACTTGCAAATATTTAGCCGTTTGGCTAACAAAATGGTGATTTCATAGGCTAACCTGCTAAAAAAATCTGACATGCATTAAGTGAAGAAACAGTGGGGGAATAGTATAAATAATATGTTGCCTTCTGTGTAAAAGGAAGAAGAAGGAGAAACATTTTCTGTGAGTGTATATTAATTTCTACATACAAAATTTGGAAGTATAGATAAGAAACAAGGTTGATGGTCATGAAACTGGGTGGTGGAGACACGGAGGAGAAGGAGGATTTATAATATTTGGGTCTGCAAGTCATAGGAATGTATTACTATTAAAATTAAGCTCCAAGAATTAAGTTTAAAAATCATATAGTGTCAGCCTAGGTATAATTTTCAGGAGATTATCACAGTATTAGATTCTGTACTTTGCCTATTTTATGGTGTCACCTTCTGCTCTTCTTGTCCCAAGCAGTGATATGAGATGAGGGAAAATTGTGTAAATTCCATGCTTTGGTGATAAAGAAAGCAGAGGACTAAACCGTGAAAATGTAGTGTCTGCAATGATGAAAAGCGACCCCCCAAAGTCCTCACAGATAATCCACACTTTACCTCGGTAGTAGGCAAACTGCAGGTAGTCATAATGCAGAGGGAGGAAGTTCTCAATGGGCGAGAGGCGGCCAGGGCGAGTAGCAAGCTCCCTCACACACTCATGCTGGCAAACCAGCACCTGCATGTAGTGATCTGGAAGACAAGAGCCAAAGGTATGTCCTGCTGTCTGCTGACAGTCAGGTGTTGTTACAGCTGCAGTTCCACAAGGGCATTCCTTACTTCCCACACTGCCAGAAAGAAGTGCCTACCATCAGCACTTTGTGATGGTTGATAATGACTTGCCMTGGTCTCTTTACCAGTGATTACTCAACAGTGGTAGGTCCCAAACCCTCTGGCTCATGGGCTTTTTCTATGTTGTACCCTTCCTTTCCCAAGTATCCCTTTCTTTACCTCCTTTGAATGTGATAGAAGCCATTTCACCCCATCCACATCCAGCGCATGTAGACTTTATTATTTAACAACTCTGACGCTTCTCTTTGGATGTCTTAAGCATCCTGAAATGAGGGTTGTAAGTTCAAATTCTAGTGATATGAAGGAACTGTTCAGAGAATGGGCCACTGTGTTGATTTGGAGTTTAAGCAGAGAAATGAAACAAAAAAGCTCCCCTTCCCTGAGCAGGGTAGGCAGAAATACAGATAAAGGAAATGTTTTCAAGACAAATTTACCTAAGGAGGAAATAAAAAATAAAATTAATAATAAAAATAAAATAAAAATATATTATTTCTTGACATCTATTGATGAAGACTCCATCCAGTTACAAATTAGCCCATCACCTGGACATTATATATTCTTTACCAGGAACTGGTAAAGTAGGGGAAAGGATGAAAGCTAAAAAATTCAGGTAAGCATTTTTCCTCTTTCTCCTTGCTCCCTCTTCTATGGCTCCCATTCTTCCCTCTTGCCCAGACTTTGATTTTGACAATGAAGACAGAGGCAGTCTTTTCCAGAAAGAATAGTCCATTCATGTTGGGCTGAGCAGGTTGCCTTGAGAAGGATGATAGAATCTATTTGACTATGGTTGTCCAACTTAATTTACCCAAACTGCCTTCTTTCAAGAGGTTTTCTGTTTAGTCATCTATCTGATTTGTTACAAAACTTCAATAGACACTACCTATTAGTGTAGGTAGTACACCTACACTAATAGGTAGCTGGATGATCTTGCAGAGGGATCTCAGAACACAATAGGAAGGAAACGTGCATTTTCTGGTATGGGGGAAACGGTGCCAGGTTCACATGAGCTGGCTAACTCACTCCTAGGGGCACAGTTAAAATCCCTGAAGTCCACTGGCCCCAGCTGGGCCATGTGAGAGGAAGAGTGAGTTCCATTTATTTGATTAGCTAGTTAGAAATAAACAGCTAGCTATTTTATTTCTCAAAGGAACAACAACAAACAACCTTCAGCTGTCCTCTACTTAACCGCTTACATTCCTCTTTACCTTCTAATATACATTTCCCCTATTCCAAATGACAAGCAAAATAAAAAGATGGAAAACACATGCACCATGAAATGATTTTCTGAATGAAAATATTTTTCAAAGCTGGATATAAACAGCAACAAAAGTGACAAAATGATATCCTTCAGGGTTATTCATCAATAACTGCATTCAGCAGCCATTTGTATTTTTCTCCAACTTTTAATGTCTCTTCTAACTCTAAAACACAAACATTATGGCTTTCTAATACAGTCTGTATTTTAAATGCCAGTTTTACTCCTAATTTAGGACACTTTTGAACCAGACAAGAATTTACATAGTGAGAGTTGTCATATTTCTTTTCATGAGTTGTATTCCTTGCCTGTGTTCTGCTTGAATGTCATTGTGCAATTAATATGTTTTTAATAAGCATGCGATCCAAGACACTTGTGTGGGAATACTTTAAAAATGTTCCTTCTCATAATAAACTGGATACACTTCAAATTCCCAAGAAGATTTACCATATTTCTGAAGTTGAAAATGTTTGGTTTGACTCTTTTTATTGCTTTTCTTTATTGGAAGTTGTGATGGTGGCAGTGGTAGTTGTATTAAGAACCTGAGCTAGAAGACCTGTATTCTTTTCCAGTAAACCATGTGCTGTGGTAATGACCTTGAGCAAATCATCAAATGCTGATCTATGGGAAATAGTCAGTTTCCTAAACCAGATCTCGGATGTTTGCCAACACTTTTCCTTGGGCATTCACAGAGGCAGGTTTAAAGCTGAATGCGGGGGGGTGGAGCACATATTTCTACAATATAACAACATAGCAAACTATAGTAAAAAAAAAAAGCCTGCCTATTTCCCCCCTCCAAAAAAAAAATAAGTGTAGAGAAATACTTGCAATTAAAATGTAAAATACGCAAAAAACTGACATTGAATTGAGCAATGCTCACAATACTGCAGGCAAATGGATCTGGCAGAAGCCCAGGGAAACAAAACTTTGGGGGAACAAATCCTCAGTAATTCATGGGTTTATTGATTTTAGGTTAACTGAGCTGATTTTGAGTAATAGGGAAAAATTAAATGTAATTTTGAGTCTACTAAATATATGGATTCTAGTCTATATTTTGGTAGCTATACCCTAATTGTCCCTTTAAAAATCCTTAAAAATTTATGACCTACATTCTCACAAACATGGAGGATTGTTAACCAGTTAGTCTGCAATATTGTTAGTTATCTGTCATTCTAATTCATTCATTCATCCACCTATTCATTTAACCAATATTTACTAAGTATCTACTATCTGCCAGTCATTATGCTTAGGTACTGAGGACTTAGCACCGAAACAGGACTTTAGACAAATGACACAGGAAAACAACATTCTGAAGGTCTTTAAGTAAAAATAAACATGGTATACCCAAGGAATTAAAGGTGCAGTAAGCATCAATCAAAGAGAAGTTGGGGAAAGGATTGATGAGAACATATATATGAAAGTCCTCGAAGGTTTGGATTTTATTTCAAGTGGAATATAAACCATTGGTGGTAGTGATGCTGAGGTTTAAGTAGGTCTGTGAATACAGAATTTTGTGTCTCTAAAACAYAAAATTACCTGTCTCTGTTTAGTGTCAAACCTGAACTATACACTAGAAGCAGTAAGGAGGCAGTCACAATAGTTTAGTTAAAATATATAGGGTGTTAGCAAAAGGGATGCAGAGAGCCAGAAAATCCTAAGTGCTACTGGGAGGTAGTGTCTATTGAAGTTTTGTAACAAATCAGATAGATGAAAGGAGGAATTGAGGACAATGTGCGCCTAAAAGATAACTTCCTGGGACTTGGCTTCAGTTACTAGTTAGGAGCTTTCTTAGAGAACACTAGAAGTTGGAGAAAACAAACTGATTTCAATAATTTGCATTTCTATGAAACTGAACACTGTTTTTCATATATGTAACTTGGAACACAATACAGACTCAACAAAAGTTTGTTAAACAGCTGTTGAATAAATTACTCTTTTTTCATTTTTCAGTTATCTAGACTTTGACAATACGCTCTCTAGATTCAGAAAAGCCTGGATTTGATATCCAGCGTCATTTTATTCATGTTGCTTAATCTTACTGAGGGATAAATTCCTCATTTAAAAAAGGAAGAGGAGTCTCTTCAATGAGGTGATACAGTGACTGCCACCAAGATGCAGATAATTGTGAAAATGCTGATGGGCAGCCCTTCTGTAGTCCAGCCTAGTGACACCACCAAAAATGTCAAAGCCAAAAGCCAAGCCCTAAGAGCATCCCACTTGACCAGTAGCATCTGATGCCTGCAGACTGAGGGAGGATGGCTGTACTCTCTGGGACTTCACACCCAGCGTCTACCCTGCACCTGCTGCTTTGTCTACCCTGCACCTGCTGCTTTGTCTACACAGTAGCAGCACCCACCATTTCCTGCATCAGCTTGCCCAGAAACCAGTGCAACAAGACAGCTGCTGTAGGTGTCATGCTCCCTTGAACCCCACACTGTCAATTCCTACAAAAAAAAAAAAAAAAAAAAAAAAAAAAAGGCCACAGCAGCATACTCCACTCCAAGAAGCAGCCAAATAAGGCCCCTCCATGGGCTTCTCCTTCCCTCAGAGGGTAGCCTCCTGCCCAAGCCCCATGGCCCTGGGGCCTCAATAAATTCCCTTTTCTTTTGACTGAAACAGTACAAACAAACAAATAAACACAAAATGGACATGGTGAGGGGGTAAATAACTACATAGTATCTGCCTACAGAATTGTAAAGAACTTTGTATGTTATAATTGCTACATTAAGTGTTAGTTTCTCTCTCTGCTAAGAAATTACCACTAGCAATAATACTAGTGATAATAACTTCTATGCTCTCTTTAAATATGCCTTTTAAATATGAAGGCTCTTAACTCCATCTATAAAACATTTTGCAATATTTTCCAGTTGCCTTTTGTAGATCAACTTAATTTATTGTATAAGTTCATATTGATGGGTCTTAGAAAAAAAGTCTTTTTCTTGATTTATCTTGTCTTTTTCATGCTTAGAAGAGTTTTTCTTCTCCCAACATAACACAAATCTCTTACATCTATTCTAAAATTTTTGCTTTTTATACTTATATTTTTAATACAAATAAAATTTATTTTCATGCATGGTATACAGCAGGGAACTAACTCTGCTGGTCCCCAATGCTTAATTAGCTAATATCAGCAGTTACTGTATATTGACCATACCTACTATTTTAAATACCATTCTCATATATAGTAAACTATTCTTTGAAGTAATTAAAAAATACTATACCAAAGTGTTTACTACTACATTGTTTATAAAAATTAAACCCTGYAATAATTTTAATATTCATCAGTAAGACTGGTCAAATAAGTTATGACATCAGAACATAATGGAATGTTACCTAGTCATTAAATATAATCAGGTGAATATTATGTACTTACATTAGAAGAAGTCCACAATTAATTGTTAAGCACAAATAAAACAAAAATATGTTGAAAAGCAGTACTTATACTATTTCCCTGTTTCTATAAAAATGCAATAATAATTATAGACACATAAATATCTGCAAATCAATTGGAAAATGTTAACTGCACAAATAATCAAGGGTAGATAGGATGGGACTGACATATGAGAGTCTTTCATTTTTTAGAATATATACTTCAACATTGATGCAATTCTTTTACAAAATGCATGTAGTATTTTTTTATGACAAAATAAATAAGAAGAAAAAATAAGCTTTACCTGCAATAGTTTCATAAAGACCCCCTTTATGCCCTAAGTACTCATACTCTTCAAATCTCTGAGGCCCCTCGCATAAAGTTCTGCACTCCACATCTTCACTGAAATATTCTCGTAAAGCTTGTTCAAAGTACTTGATAGCCAGTTCAAMGTCATCAGCCTCATAGTGTTTAACGCCTGCACTGTAGCTCTCCTGCAAATACACAGAAAAAACATATTTTCAAAAAGCAGCATGCAAGCAGCCCCAGGACCATGTAGGAAGGTGGGGTGTGGAGCTCACATGTGCTGCAGAGAGATAAAACAGTATTACACCTGGAACCCAGACTGTAACCTCCCTAGATTCAAATAATTGTAAATGAGAGAGGGCTGAATGAGCAAGTAGGCTGCTCTGGCACTAGTAATTTCATTCTTCTCCTGAGCACACATTAAGATTATAATTTCTAGTCCCTTTGCCCGTGGGTAGGGCCATAGGACAAGTGCAGGACAGTAGATGTGGATGGAAATAACACCCACTTGCAGGCCTTTCCCAATTAAAGAACAACAACAACAAAAAGTAGTCTTCCATCTAAAATCTTTCTCTCTCATCCTTCACTGCAATGATTTTAGAGGCCCTTGAGAATGGTCATGGCAAAAAATGGGGGGAAAAAGTCCTTCTAACATGGGATTTCAAATAACATTTCATAAAAAAAGAATTGTGTGGCTCTTTAAAACCCCAATTTGAAAAGTACAGGTACCAAGGGCAAACCTGTGACCTAAGAACCCGGGAGCCATGATGTGACCTGCTCCTGTGACAAAGCTCCTAAGTATGAAGTGTGTTGGAAGCAGGTACAGTGGTAGGTGCTTGTAGTCTCAGCTACTCAGGACACTGAGGCAGAAGGATTGTTTGGACCTGGGAGTTCAAGAGCAGCCTGAGAAATGAAAGTAGACCATGTCTCAAAAAAAAATAAATAAATAAATATAGTGTTGGAGCAGAGCTGAGGGTTACAGATACTTGTATGATGTTCTGGGTTTCCCAATACACTGATTCGCTAAGTTAATTTTTATTTCCCTCAATTTTTAATATTTTTAAAATTTAATTAAAAACTTAAATATTTTCTTGATTTTTTTGGACTGTGATAATTATAATATTTCCTCTGAGAACTCTGAAAATATAAAAACATGACTGGAAATTGAGACTCAAATTGAGATATCCATTCACATGAATCTGGTTTGGGTCAAATGAAACTCAGGAGCACATAGCTCCATGGGGCATGAGGCAGGGGTCCTCAGAACTCACAAGGTGAGGTTTGGCTTCTCGGTCTATCAGCTGGAACTCTTCCACACCAGCCATCATTCTGTAATTCTCAATGTTCTGCTGCATTTCCATGTGCTCAGGATTGGCCATGAAGAAAGTGTGAGCAGCTTCCACTGCTTTTTGCAATTGGTTAAGCTGCAGAGGAAAAAGAAGGAACAAATGAAGGCAAACGTGTCTAAGCAGGATTCAGAGAAATAAAAAGATTAATTCAAGGTCTTGTAGCGTAAAAGTGGTAAGGCCAGGATTCCAGTTCATAGTCTTTACTTACACATATTTTTCCACTATATTATATCTAACATCCACACTTAAATGTGAGGAAGTTGATTGTGTTCCCAAAATAATATGTGGATATTTTGACATTGGTGAAAATGAATACATGTGCTTTGTTCCACATTAATCTCCTTCCTCGCTTTTCTTAGCCACCTATGTTTTCTAGGAAACGAAACCTATGTGATTATGTTAGCTTTATAGTTAATTAAATAGAAAAAAATCTCCCCAGGGCTGTATATTCATTTTCAATATTTTTTGTCTTATACTTTCTCCTCTTTGATTTTGCCCATTTTTCCCATGAATCCTGAAACTCAAAGGACGAATACTCTTTTCATTTTCCAAAGGATGGAAGTAGGAAACCTATCCTTCCGTCAAATGTGTCCTCAGGCTTCAGACAGTGATGAATTAAGAGTGAAGGAGTAAACTACTCCAGTATGTAAGAGACCCTGAACTTACCACTCTGATTCTCACTAATAAAAAAGGAAGGACTTTTAATAATCACCACACAGACATTGTCTTCCTCCTAAACCACTTAGACCCACTCTCCATGGACAAAGCAAGGACTCATTTTTAACACAAAAGAATTAAATTTATCAATTTAAGACATTTTGACCTGTGCTTTGGTCATGGAGATTGTCTACAGAAAGATCCTTTATTTCATATCATAAAAATAAATATTCTCATTAGTAGTCTTTTTCATAGTGAAATCCAAAAGATATGTTGGGTTTGTTTTAAAGTATGAAGAAATAAAAACTCATTATTATTGAAGGACAAAATATAAAATTGTAGGACATCATATAATATTCAATAGGTCTTCTTTTGGAAAAGTAATTACTCAAAGACTTAAAAATACAAATGACAGTGGGTTCTCAAGCCCCTAGTCACTGCAGGCTGGTGATATATTAAGAATTGACTCTCCAAGAAAAAAAAAACTGCTTAATTTTACAGTGTCGTATCCTTATTATCATATTCTTAGTTAATGACTTTCTTCCTATTAAATCTTTCCTCAAAGTACCTTTTTTCCATTATTTTTCCCTATGACCTAAATTTTGTGCAGCCAGAATTGTTTTGGTTTTCAAAACCTCTAATTTTAGATGTTTCTTTTTATCTGTTTTTATTTTTCTCAATTTCTCACACACTAATCAGATAAATAGGAATTCTATGGGCATCTACATAGTGACAGTTATACAAGTACAGAGAGAAAACAATGGGCTTTAAATTGTAGGTAGGTTCACTTTTATTGGCCAAGTAAACCTGGAAAATGTCTTTTAAACATCTGCACTTCAGTTCTCCCTTAAGAAAAACACACTCACAAAAAAAACTGCATATCAGTATCTACCACATAGCATTTTGGAAGGATTTAACTGTGTAATATATATCGATATGGTTTAAAAAAAAACACTCAAAATAAATGAACCAATGTTAGCATATAGTTTATAAAATGATCTATCAGTTTTCAAGATGTGAATCTGTTCCCTTGAATGAGTATAACCCATCACTCTCATAAGGACTATAATCTATAATTCCTGTGAACATACCACTTACGAGAATATAATAGGCAACTTTTAGTGAAAATTATCTCAAATTAATAGCCAAATCATAAGTATTATGTAAAACCCTTTAGTACTGACATGTTCTAATTGCATAGCACTAGGCCTTAAAGTTGATAGAACACAAACAAATAGCTGTGATGCTCATTTTCCTTTTTATGCCTTGGCTCAGGCTGTTGCATGGATTTAGAGAAGCTTTGCTCCTGTGTGACTTCTTATTAAAATGTAACACATCCCATAAGGCCAAGCTTGAATCCTGCTTTCCTTAAGAGCTGCTCTCCCAAACCTATAGCTCTGGTGAAACACCAGATATTATCTTATCCCTATTCCTCTATGGGTACTTAACATATTCTGCCTTATATTTTATCTCAGTATATTTGCATCTCCCAGTAGAACTTTCTGTGAATAGAGATGATATAAATTATTTATTTTTATTTCCCATCTAATTTACATATAAATAATATCTATGATATGTCTAAGAGAAAAATGTAAAGCAAATCTTTAACATATAGATTGAGAGGTATGTTACATGTCAGTGTATCTCATAGACTATACAGTACTAAGAGGACATAACGCTGAAAGTTTCCAATAGTAGTTATCACAGGTGAATACGTTTCAGTAACTCTTGAGAATGGTCAGCTAATGTTTGAAAAACCACATTGCCTATTTGTTTATTTGGTGCAGTAATATATATGAATGTATTTTAACTCTGTGTTAAACATAATGCCATCTTCCTCATACAAATATAAAGAAGATTTCATAACTTCACACTGAACCATAAAATTTCTTCATGAACTGGCCTTGGCTTTTAAATTATTGTAAAGCAGTTCATGAAACTAAAACTGTCTGCCATTWAAAAAAAAAAAAAAAAAGATCATTGTTTCAACTGGAAAGATGATAAATTTGTACTTTGTTGTAGAAATAAAATTCACATACTGGGTTTCATTGGAAAAGTCCACAGAACCATGTGCACACTACATATAATGTTGTATTAATGGATGGAGATTACTACCAACCTCGTAAGTACTAGATTTTGACTAAAGAGGAAGCTACCAACTACTCCACCAATGCAAATCAAAAGCAAATGGCATCTGAAGGCTTCAAACCGGATTTCTTTAAGGTATCCTTAAAACCAACCACAGAAGAGGGTAGCTCTAATATGAGGGTAACTCTATGCATTAGAAAAAAAGAAATTTTGAAATAAAGAAGAATTGAGGAAAGGGGAATGATTCAACAAGAAGATGGTATTGAACTTAAAAGGTGAGCCACTGGCCTCTGAGATGTGAGAAAGAAGCCCTGGATCATTTTAACCCAAGCTATGAGGAATGCAGGCAAACATTTTCTCCTGCCAGCCCAGAAGCACAACCCTACGTGGCAATCATGCTGCCTGGAAAAAGAAATGAACACTGACTAAATCAACACCCTGCTGATGTTCGGAAGTTGCAGTGTCATGAGCTGGTGAGTGAATGAGGCTCTTCTGACACACAAGTCATTTTCCATAGCCAGCAATAAAGGAGACATTTCAAAAGCACGCACCAATGATTGAAAAATTTCCAGTAGCTATCCATGGACCACAGAGAGATTCCAGACACTGCATCAGAACATTCAAGAACTCTAGCATTTGGCTCCAGTCTTTTTAGCATAACTTTGTCCTATCCATCATTAAGGAAACTTTTCCCAGATGAGTTGAACATACCAAAAGTWTTGCAACTTCCCATCACACTACTCAAGAAAACCCATGTGAGTCCAGTACTCCAGTTGTACCCAAATTCTTCACTACATTCATTCACTTATTCAGCAAKCATTTATTTTGCATTAACTCTGTGCAGGACACTACGTTAGCCAAGGAGAACAAATATGTGGCCAAGGCAAAGAACCTGCTTTTTGGATGCTAATATTTTCACTGAAGGAGACAAATCTCTAGTGAGTAATTTTTAGTGAAAGCAGTTTGAGTAAGTGCTAAGTAGGTGCTTAGTAAGTGCTAAGTGGAGATGAACATAGTTGTGAGCCTGGCAGGATTGGGATGGAAGGAGGAACCCTCAGATCCATTATCAAGGAAGATCTCTCTGCAATGACCTAAAAGGGGAGAATCCAGTCATGAGCTTAGCAGAAGAAAGATCATTTCAGGCGAAAGAAAGTCAAGGGAAAGGGCCCTCCAGTGGAAAAAGCCCTGGCATATTTTAAAAGCTGRGCAGTGACTAAGAATGGAGATTTGAGAAACTGGAGGACAGGTCACTTTTAGTCTATGCTCAAGAGTTCCATGTCAATCTAAGTGCAAGGGGAAGCTATTAAAGAAATTTAAGGAGGGATGTAACAAGAATCTTAAGCACATTTTAAAATGACAATCAAAACTGTTATGTGGAAAACAGATTTTGTAGCGAGCAGGAGGGCTCTGCAATAATTCAGATCAGAGTTCATTCTTGTACTTTGCAAAATAAAAATAGGGCTGAATAGGTCAGTTGCTTCCTCTTTTTCTTCCTCTCCTCTCCATGCTTTTCATTCCTTTCTTTTCCTATTTTGCYCATTCTTGCTGTGGCAATGTTTCTCAACGCAGAAGGCACACACAGCACAAAAGAAAAAAAATTAAATGTCCAAACATAGTAGGAAAAATATAAAAGTTCCTTTGATTCTGAATTAGGGCAAATATGAAGCTCAAAAGTTTTGAAAATGAAATTGAGAACAGCTTGTGAGATAAGTACAAAAAAGGAAAAAGCCAAATTCTAAAGCATATTAAAACACATAAGAAACACTGTGCATTTCAGGAACAATACTTTTTCTCTTCTGAGGACTTTTTGAACAGTGGGAGTAAAACACAGTGTCCAAAATAAGTTATTTCCATTCTACTACTCAGATATCAATGTTTTCAATAAAGAAACAGATTTTTTTCCTCTATATTCACCTCCCTAACTTTGGAGATTTATCCAATATGGTGCATAACCTTTTGATAAGGTGCTATATTTTTGCTTTGGACTTTGTTTCACAATATAGCAACTTAGGAGACTCTTAGCCCCATGTGAGGTTGCTCATCAGGTGACAAGATGTAAGTAGACACCGGAAGACATTAGGTTTCTAAATCACAGAATATTCAAGTTCTAGCTAGTATCATTAGCACACCAGTTAGAGGGGGAAAAAAATTGGCAAGAGGTGAAACCTAAAAATTCCTGGCCTGAAAATGTAAGTCTTTGTTTTATGGAGCTATTAGATATATACTGTGACACAGGACACTTTTGTAGATATTTCATCACTTGCTAAAATCTCAGCGAATTTACTTCAAAATTTTGTGAACCCTAGTTAATTTTTCCTCCCAAAGTCAAA